TGGCATTCAACTGGCTCCTAACTTTTCTGGGGAAAAAAGGGTAATTTAGCACTTTTGCCATATTACATTTTCTGTTATTGTCTGTCTTCTCCCTCTCATTGTGTAACGGGCCTTTTCTGTCTGTGGTGTTTCACTTGCTTCTAATTTTAGAATATTTTCTTGTTACCCTTCATGTTTCTAGATAGCCTAAAACACTAATTGAGATTAAACTTTCTAATTGCGTCCCTAATACCAGTGATGTTTGTTAATATTCATTCTTTGTAATCGACCTAATAGGACTCTTGAGTTTCAGATGATTGAAGATCTCCTGGTTAAGTCAGTGCGGTATCTGGCCATACTTAACTATCTTTCCTACACTCTTGTGCCCTTAATGTCTCTTTGAAAAGACTCACTTTCACATAAAACTGCCTTGCCCTTTCAAATTTTCAATCATTTCCTCCCAAACTTGCTCCCCTCTCCTTCAGACAAAGTTAGATTTGAATGCCAGAGCAAAAGTTAGACTATATTCATCAGATAAGAGAAACTGAACAGAACATGTAGGCTAGGCAGGATGGTGATCACATCATGAGCTGCAGCTTTCTGAGCTGGGTACCTGCTGCAAAACTGATGACTCTGCATTTTTTGTGTTACGTACAGGTCCACTGATGGTCTGCCCCACTAACTGGAGTTCAGGTGAAGGATGTATTTCTTCAAGGACTATTCTCTAGGGAGCATCTTAGCTCTTCTACACAAGCCAGCTTTGGCGCTCATACTGAGAGCAAGGTCAACTTGGTTGGTCCAAACAGGATGCATGAGTGAGAGACAGAGATTACCCTAATATGATAGATCACATCCCATCATAAACTGATAATACCTCTTATTGACTCCAATATTGCTGAATACAGGTTAACAAAAATAAAATAAACCCAAATACAAGTTTACTTGCACTAAAAGTTTCTTAAATTTCTGAGATTTTACCATCACTCTTAATAAAAAAAATAAAATAAAGCAGTACTCTCAATTAAAAGAGTCCTAACTATATAGGGGAAACTGACAACACAAACAGACAACTAAAAACAACTGAGAAGTAGAACATTTTTTCTGGTCTATTTCAGCTTTTGTGACCAAGGAGGTTCTTGTAACAATACGTAGGTAAATATTTTCAGAGAGATGACACATGGGGTTTTGAAGCTGAGGAGATACCTTTTTAAGGAAAGAATCAAAGCCAGGTCATTATTTTAAGTTTGTATGATTCATACTGTAGATAGAACCTTGTTTTAAAGATATGAAAAAACTGTATTGCAAAATTTAAATGAATTTGGTATGAGATTAATGCATTAAATAAAGGCTTTTACAAACCTAAATCCAGTTTGCTTTTTGCTACTGATTCAGACATTTCAATATCATCAAATACGGCTGTTTGACAGCTGTTCTCCACTGTGGCTTCATACTGCACGGGGTTGGAAGGGTGGGGAAGAAGGAGAGAATTTAAAAATTAAACAGTGTTGGCATTCTCTCAGAGTAGTATTTGACATACACATTGATTTTACAGCAAACATTCACATTTTCATAATTACTTTATTTTTATAATTATGAAGTTAATTGCTCATTTAGGCAACATCAACGAAGAGTGCAAACAATGTGATTAAAATACAAAATGAATTTCATATTACCGGTTTTGCAACCCAGAGAGGAAGCAAAGATTTTTTTTCACCTGACACTTATGTGGAATAACAACAGTTCTAGATCAATATCATTCAACAAAAGCTGCATTTTGGCATCTTTATTCAGAGATGCCATTTTGGCATCTTTATTCAGAGATATATTTCTTTCCCCTCTAAAACCTCTGTGGCCTTAAATGCGTCATTAACATTTCTGCCCCAATTTCTTCATCTGGAAACTGAGAATAAAATGGACATGCTTGGGGAACTAGATTCTTGGAAAACCAGTTTCATCATTTTCTTTTCTGGGGACATACGAACAGAAAGCAAACTTAGAGGGGAAAGAAATTCTCAGAGTATTATAGGATGCAAAATTTTCATTCACATATGATGCCCTATACTATCTCCTTCCTTCCTTCCCCTCACAGTGTTAGGTGTCAGTTTATTTCTTTTCATCATTTCCTGTTGTAGGGCAGGCCCACACATAGGACTTTCGGGAGTGGCGGGAAGGGGGGGGGGCTATGCTTTTTTTGTAAACATGGACCACAATTTTTTTAAATATAAAAGAGTTCAAAATAGTCATGCAATGAGTATGCATAAGAGAGATTAATGAAAAATTTAGTGGAAACAGTGATAAGTAAAATGATTTTGTTATAACATACTAAAAATATATACAGTAATAAACGTTTTATAGAAATTACCTTCTGGGACCATGGCAGAAAGCGCGGCTACCATGGTGCCCCACTCCCTCGGCCACCCCAGTCTGCTGCTGCTCTACCTGCTCAGCAAGGCCAGAACCAGGGTGGGGCTTCCGGCCAGCGGGGCCGAGCTGCTCTTTGTGGGTGGGAGGCATCATTCCCCCAGCCCTGCCGTGCTGCCACCAGCCCTGCCTGCCCATTCCCCTAACAAAGCCCCCTCATGCTTACTTGGAGGATCATGGGACTGTGTCCACACCCTTCACACACCTCTCTCCCCCCTCCCCATATGGTTCTGTAGTGCTCCACTTCTGTCCTTGAGACCAGCTGCCCTGAGGAGAATTGACAAACATCCAGCTCTCTAAGGCTTGCCTTCATTGACTCATGAGATCAAGTTAGCCAGTTACAGTTATCTTCTCTTGAGCCAGATAGTTTAAGTAACAGCAGTCCCATGGCAAGATAATTGAGCCACAAAGAGGGACTGGATGAGCTCAGTAGTTGAGTCCCCACTGCTCCACTAGCTGCAGCACTGACAGCCCTCAAGCCTCAAACCATGGGTCCTCATAGGCTGGCTAGCTTGAATTTAAAGCATCAGTGAACTCGAGCTAGAGAAGTGTGTGCATCAACAGCAGTTGTGTTAGAGGCAACACTCGAGTCATAGCTTGAGCTAACAGTGCAGCATAGCCCTCAAGACATTCCGCACTGGTGCTGTCGTAAAGGACAGTTAGTTTCATTGATGTACTGCAGCACAGCAGGGAAACGAGACGGTAAGGAGAGCTTTGAATCTACTGTGCTCAAATAAGAGATGATGGCTGACACACCTGCCAAGTTATATAAAGAGATGCAGACAGAAGGGTCACCAAAGGGAGCCTCGATTAGTTCTGCAGCATTAATAACACAGCAAATTCTTTGCCAAATGGTACTCAAACACCAGCAAGAAAATACATTTTAGTTTTATGATTTTAAAAATATGTTATATAAAAATAGAGTAATGCCTGTTGGCATCTGCTTGATGTAGTGAGAAATCTTACCTAAATTATGTCAAAATCCACAAGATCATAGAAAATAAAGGAGAATCATCATTATAGAAAACAGACCTAAATCCTACATCAGTATCTGCTAGCTGGCTGCCTGCCAATTTCACTGAGACGTTGTACAATTACAAAGAAGCTGTATTAGCAGATCCTGACCCAGGACTGACAACCAGGGTAAAATGTCTTACCATTTGCTTATCGAATGGGTAATGCGGAGAATGCTTAGCATTTGTGCTAATAAGGGATCTTAAATCTGGTGTTTTAGTTGGCTCAAGGTGTTTTGCCCATTCTCCAAAAAAATCCAGGTTCTTTCCTGCAGGTGGAATTGCGTCCTTTACATGTGATGAGGCGTATGTAAAATAATCCAGATCCACATCATATTCTTCATCCACTAACATTTCCCGCTCTTCACCCATTTCATCTCTTTTAGATTTAAGAAATTCATGCATTTCCCAGGACTCTCTATCGTCTGTTTCACACTGCGGCACCTGAAATGGCCTCCCAAAATCCAGAAGTGGTTCATCA